ACCTGGGTGGCTCAGTAGGTTAAAGCCTCTGCCTTCAGCTCAGGTCATGATCCCAGGGTCCTGGGATGGAGCCCCAGATGGGGCTCTCTGCTTAGCAGGGAGCCTGCTTCCCCCTCTCTCTGCCTGCCTCTCTGCCTACTTGTGATCTCTCTGTCAAATAAATAAATAAAGTCTTAAAAAAAAAAAAAAGTATCTGAAATGCTCTAAGCAGTGATCTGGGGAACAGGGGAGGAGGACTGACAGTAACATTATGGTCTTTATACTTCAAGAGCGAATTCCCAGCTGCCCCAGAAAAGCCATGTAAGATGCAGCAAATCTGGGCTCACGCCCAGAGGCGACAGCAGGCAAACCAGTGCACCATCCACACAGAGGGGAGAGTTCCAGGCTACCTACGCTCCCGGGGCCCACTGTCTTCCACGGGAGGTGACCTGCCTGGGACCTGGACATACCAGCATTTGCTGTTCCCTCCCCAAGGGAGTTGGTTCAGGGAGGCATGTTCCCATTAGGTGAAACTCAGATGATAGAGGGATAAGGGAAAGGGCCCCAAGAACAAAAGATGGCTGCCAGCGATCCGATAGGAACGCTAGTACAGGGCGGGCACTTTAAGCCATTCTCCACCTTCCAAAATGCAGCCCCCTGGCTGTGCACATGGTCTCTTGAACCCCAATCTACCCGTTTCAACCCATTCACGGCCCCCACCTGGTCGGGGCTGAAGCTCCTGCACATGCAGTCTCCCCTAAACTCCGGCCTCTAACCCATGCTCCCCAACAGCCAGAGGCATCTCCCTAAACACTTCCAAGGCTCCCCAGCACCCCCACTCCATGCTCACCCTTCTCTCCAGCCAAACCAACTTGACCCACTTCCTCGACTGCAGATGCTCTCGGTTATCTAACACCTTCTTCCCCGCCTTCCCTAGCTAGTCCTTCTCCTTTGAGCCTCACATCTAGAAAGCCTTCTCTGGACCCCCAGACTGGGTCAGGTGCGTCCCCTAAGCTCCCCAAGATCTGTGCACTTCCCCTATCCTGCTCCTGACTCCTCTGGGTCGTCCCCACCTGAGGTCTGCAAGGGCAGAGCTGGGGGCTCCCTCAGTCACTGGGTACCCCACCGCTGGCTCCAGCACAAAGAACAGTGAATGCTGACAAACAGCCAGAGAGACTCCCGACTTCAGGGGACCAGACTACGGGTGACAAGAGGTCCAGACCCACCCAGTCTGCCACAGCACTCACCATGGGCTTGTCGTAGAAGGGGAAACCCTGCATGGAGCGCAGAGCGTTGGTGGCACTGCTGACCTCCTTGAAGATGACAAAGGCCTGGCCCCTCATCTTCAGGCTTCGGGAAACTAGGATATCCAGGATCTGGCCAAACTGGGAGAAGATGGCATACAGGGACTTCTTCAGCTCTGCAGGGGGAAAAAGGGAAGGCCCATGGGTGACTGGAAGTCTTGGTACCTGTCCTGGGGGCCGAGATCCTTTTTCAGAGCCAAGTGAGGCCCAGAAGGAAAACCATCAGCCACCTGACACAGTGTCACAGGTCAGGAACCCCTCAAGGGCCAGCAGTACGAGCAGCAGCCAAGAACACTGGGGTGAGTTGTGGGGGCTCCTCTGAGAGCACGGAGGGTACCGGTACCTCCTCCTGCTTGATGAAGAACGGGAGACCCACGTAACAAAGGGCCTATGACAAATGCTCAATAAATGTGAGCATGCTTTTTCTGGTCACTGGCACCTTGACCCAGGTCTGGGTGAGGTAGCCCTGGCCAACTTCTCCAACCTCGTCCCCCCACACTCCACCCCACTCCCCTATTCCCAGTCACGCTGGCCTCACAGCCCTTTCCCAGGCCAGGACACGGATGCTGCCTCAGGACCTTTGCCCAGACTACTGCCTCCACCACAAAAACCTTTCTCCTGTTGTGTCCACAGCTGTCTCCTTCTAGTCAACCAGGTCTCAGTAACAGTATTCCCACTTCAGAGGCTTCCCCCTGACCTGTCTTAATTAAGGTGCCCTGTTGCCACTCTCCCCACTCCTCGTACCCTACTTGCTTTTCCTTTGCAGTCTTGCCCACCTCCTGACCTCAGATGTGCTTACTGGTTTAGTGATCCTTAACCACGAGCCCTCCCACTTGCTTACTGCAATACTCCGCGCAGACTTTAGCGGCCACCCATCTTCAAAAACATTTGCGTGAGTAAAGATACCATTATATGTTTTACGGAAAAAACTTCACCAAATTCTCACAACCACTTCATGAGATAGTGACCGTAACAGTCTTAATTTTACTAAATGGAAACAGATGCTCCGAGGATTATCAGGGGCTCCGGAGTGCCCTGGAGGTACTGGGAAGCTACAGAGCGGCACCCAAGTCCATCTGAACCCCACACCACTGCATCTAACAAACGACCACACTTGACAGGGCGCCTAGCTGGCTCAGCTGGTTGCACGTCTATCTTCGGCTCAAGTCCTGATCCCAGAGTCCTAGGATCGAGCCCAGCATTGAGCTCCCTGCTTGGTGGGGAGCCTGCTTCTCCCTCTCCCACTCCCCTCACTTGTGTTCCCTCTCTCATTGTGTTTCTGTCAAATAAAATCTTAAAAAAAAAAAGTCACTCCCCTGGACTCTGGGCCTCTCTCCCTTCTCCCCTCTTGCCCACTCAAGTTCAGTCTCCATACATCATCCTCACACCAGACTGTGTCCCTCGCCTGGCTCCCAGATGGCCTCAGGACAAAGTCTAACGGCCCACTGCCCACAAGAGGCCAGGAACCTTCAGTGTACTACTCACTGGAGGGTTCTCCCTGGACACAAGCCTCCGTCACACAAAACTAGTTGTTATTTCCAGAATGCCCCAGGGTCTCTTTGGCCGTTAGATATCTGCCCATGTTGGTCCAGGTTCGGAACACTTTTCTCCCTCACCACAACATACACACAGATTCCTCTACCTAGAAGGCTTCTCTGAGAAGGAACAAATGCCTCTGTCCAGGTGCCCCACTGGCTGGGCACCATACTCTAAGAGCACATACAGGGGACTTACATGGCTTGTCTGGTTTTCTTCAACGGTAACTTTATTGGCAACCTCAAACTTAATCCCAGCAAACTCCTTTGGTTCTCCCTGAGAATTTTCTTTTTTATTCGCCCTCCCCCAAGACTTTTCTTAAGGGGATAAGAGACAAATTTTACCCAGCCCTTACTAACGACTGGATACCATATAAAGAAGCACTGCATAGATGATGTTTGGCTCAGGTAATCCATGCAACGTCCATGCAAAGAAAAGTACCAGGACTTTGTTCAATTTTCAGATATAGAAAATGAAATTCAATAAAGGTGATAAAGGAAATGGAAAAAAATACATCGAATGTCAAGAATCGAGTTCTCAAGCGGAATTCCACGCTGGTGGCCTCAACCCCTTTATCTTGCTGTGTGGCCTTGGGCAAGTCACAACATCCCTGAGTCTGGCTCCTAATCTGAGAAAAAGGTGTTATAGCTCCTTCCTGAAGGGCTGTTGGGAGAATTTAAAGTAGTAAAGATGTACATATCAGTACCCCCCCCCCCGATGATGGTGTTAGCAATGTTAATATAATTCCGTCTCCTTTTGGAAATCAGACACCTCCATCGTGGGCTGATCACTGAAAATACCACCGTGACCAAGACCATCCCAGCGCTTACCCTCATGGAGCTCCCAGATCAGTGCAGACAACCCCATAACAGCCCAGAACAATCAGGGCTTGAGAGGGACATGTCCAAGGCCTATGGGAAGTCAGGGGCAGGCACCTGAGCGGTAAGGGGACGCCAAAGGGTTCTTGGAGGAGTCCTGTGAGCTGAGACGTTCAGGGATGAACCACAGTGACCAGGTTAATGGCTAGAGCGTTAAGATGGACTGCAGGAGCGTTAAAGACACAAGAAGCAGCGTGTGCAAAGGCTGAAGGATTAACCGATAGTTTGGCTGGAGAAGGCGAAGGAAGAGACGTGAATGCGGGGGATGGAAGAAGTGGCCGGCTCCTGCGAGGTCACCTGGAGTCTGGACTATCCCCAGAACTCACCATCCTTCTTGATCTTCTCGTTGAGATTGTTGATATAAATAGTGTGGTTGGGGCGGGTCTCGGGAACTGCCATGGAGAGGTGCCGAGATAGAGCTGAAAGAAGGAAAAAAGGTAACTTCAGCCCTGGGTTTCTCCAAATCCTCTGTCCCAAAGCGGGCTTAACGGGCTGCTCAGGGATCTTACTTCCAGGAGAAAGTGAGGAGAGGCGAGAAAGCGGCACAGCTCGGAAAACAAAGCGAAAGCGGGACCCCGCTTCTCCTCCCCGCGTGGTAGAGGGAACCCTCTAGAGGTCTACTACGAGTCCCAAGATGCTCTACGTGACCCAGTAGGCGGGGCGTCCTAAGTGGCGAATCCCATTGGCCTAGGAGCTCAAAGGGCGACCCAAGAGAAAAACCCGGATGTGTAAGAGCCAGTTAAGTAAAGAGACGACTCTGAAGCGCCCTAACTTCGCGCAGCGGGAAGATAGTTTCCCCACACGAGGCGCGAGAAGGCCCAGGAGGCAAACGCTCCCCTGGCCTGGCGTCGATGGCCGCCGTCGCCCAAGATTACTCACCAACAGAGCCGCAGCTCCTGCAAGTGTCGCCGCGTAGGTTTCTGAGCGTCGACTACAAAAGCTTCCTCTCCTGGTCCCGCCTTTGTCTTTCTGCAAGCCAATCCCGCGCAGAAACTCAGTAGCTTGACCAGTCAGAACCAATCTCGCCCCTGGGCCCAAATCTTGCCAATCAAAACGACATTTGGGTTCCCGCCTCGGCAGAAAAACCCCGCCCGACCCGTCCTGAGGGTCTAGGGACCAATCAGCGAAGGCCCACCCCCTCACGCGCTTCTGACCAATGGGGAAGCCGCTCGCCCTTGGGCCGCTTCCGGGGACGGTCCTTTGAAAGTCTCTCCAACAAACCCCCCCCACACGCCCCGCCTTCTCTCGTTACGGGTCGCGAGTCCCGCCACGTGATAAGGGATAATGTGTGCTGCGGCTGCCATTTTGCTGGAAGGGGAGGCGCGTTTACTTTTAGTCTCCGTCACTTATCCCGGCGGTATCGCGGTTCTTAGCGTCCTCTGATCTCTGAGCCTTCCCCAACCTAGAGAGCTTTTCCTTTCGCGCTCTGATTCCAGGACCTTCTCCACGACTAAGCCATCCTCCCTGCCAGGTGTCCTTTTGATGTCTTGACCTCTGTTTTATCAAGGTCAGCTCCAAGGCTCCGAACTCTGGCCTGGGATGTGAGGGGTTACAGAGCCTGAATTCTCTGGTCTTTAGCCCTGGGCTCCAAATTCCCGCCGTTTAGGCGCCCCACCCTAGAGCCAAGCCTTGATTCCCGAGTTTCTAAAACTCGCCTGGGATAACACAGTAACTCTTAATTAAATTCCTCTCCGAGCCTTGCAACCCAGCCCCAAACCACAGATCTAGTTCCGGATAAGGGATCCGCCCTGTTAACCCCTGCTTCCATCGTTCCAAGTGTCCGTCCTTGTCCTTTCAGGCCCACTCTTCACCCAAGTTCTGGAACTCCGCGCTAAAACTTTCAGAACGTCCATTCCTGCAACTAACTCATTTTTAGAGTATCCATCTGGCCCCGATTCTTGATCTTCCAGCACTTGCATGTCATAGACCCCAAAATGATTTCTGGATGTTCTCCCCTGGTAGACCCCCCAGCCCCTCCACAAACCCTTGTTCCCCAAACCCCCATCACTCCACTTCCTCTACCCCCAAATGTCCCCAATTTAGCTTTTCCACCTCCCTCAAGTCTCCAGGCCCCTATCCCCCCACCCCCACCCCCCCTGCCACCTCCACCCGCTGTCAGGAGGCTGGCTCCCCCTCATGTCTTCGGCCTAGAGAAGAGCCAGCTCCTGAAGGAGGCCTTAGAGAAGGCCGGCGCAGTCCCCAGGAGCAGAGATGACGTGAAGAGGCTCCTGAAGCTGCACAAGGACCGGTAGGGTGTCACCGAACCACCTGTCCCCGGGTCATTTCAGCTGTCTTCTCTTGGGGTTTCTTATTTCCTCAAGATCAAAAACCTCAGCTCCCTGCTTAGACCCATGCAGGGCAGCCTTCTGCAAAGAGGAGAAATCTTGCCCCCACAGGCACCTAGTCCAGGGGCAGGGACAGATCGCTCCCTCACCAGTGACAGCCCAAAGTGGTGAGAGCTATAGTAAGGGAGTCCCGGGGGTGGTCCTGGCCAGACCTGGGGGTTAGTGGGGACTGAGAGCTGTCCCAGCTGTGATGAGGAGAATTAATGCCTGTGCAGAGGCACAGGCTGAAATGAAGAGGTGTTCTTTTCCAGGATCTGCAAATATTTCTTCAACTGGATGGGGGAGGTGGAAAACGTGGAGTTCCACAGGTGGACAGGAGCTAGAGCACACAGGGCAGGGGCACCGCGTGGAGGGAGGCAGACGATCCTGAGGGCAGCGGTTGCTGCAGAAGGGCTTTGCACAGAGAGGGAGGCTACCTGTGGGGACTGGAGGTGGTGAGACAGTCAAGGGGTCCAGGAGGAAGCTGGAGCCCCGAGAGATCCAGGTGGGAGAGGGCTAGATCCGGCCTGGGGCTGTGGTGACCTGGTATAACAAGGAGTGAGTTGCCCAGACTCACGGAAGAAACTTCCAGCTTTCTGGACAAGTTTATAATCCGTTTTGTTAGGACGTTTGTCAGACACTATTCTCAGTGTGTTTAAGCATTTATTTCATTGGGTTAGTGATTTTGTAAGATAGGAACTATGGTTATGTCATGTTCCTGATGAGTAAACTGAGGCTTATGAAGGTGGTTACTTCGCCACAGCACTTAGAGGAACCCAATATGCACTCTGGCAGCAGGCCTCGGTGCCTTTAACCACTGTGTTACCATCTTCCATCAGGACAGTGCTCCAAACTGGGAACCGGGAGCTTTGGGGTTACCCCACCCCCACCAGCCTTGCTCTTTCACTGGCCTTGGAACAGAAATACTGGATAAGCATGTTGCCCCAGCCTCTCCTGAGTCCTGGGGCTGCATTGGCTCAAAATCTTACACATGACTTCCCCAAGGGTGGGGCTGGGCAGGCCTGCAAGGGCTCATTATCGGCTGATCTCTTAGGCTTGGAGTGTGGTCTTACGTGGTTCTCCTCAAGGCTCGGTTAAGGGATTTTCATCCTCATTGAACAGGCTTGAGAAGGGGGAAAAAAAAAATCACAGGAAGGGTTTGGGTAAACAGTCACCCGCCTTCAAAAAATTTCCTCTAATAAGTCCATTTTCCTGGCTCCAAGTTGCAAAGATTTTGTACATCTGTTCTTTGCCCCTACAACAACCGAGAGAAGGAGCAGGGAGCAGCAGGTAGGAGGAGGATTCCCACTGAGCAGATGAGGATGCGGAGGCTTGGGAAGGGACAAGTGGCTCATCAGGGGAGAGGGAAGTCAGCATCAGAGCCTCGAGCTGCCTCCGGCCTTAGGACAGCCAGACCTGGGTTTCTCTCCCCATTCCTCAACACTCCACTTCCAATCGCACCTCAAGGCCGGGGGTGGGGAGGTTGGGGGGGTAAATCTAGGAGCTGAGCTGGTTCCTGTGTGACCTGAGCTGGTTCCCATGTGACCTGAGCTCGCTCTGATTCAGTTTCAGAAATGACTTACAATGGATCCTCTTCTGTGCAGACGTGCCGTCCCTCATCCAGGAAGGCCCTCAGTACGTGTGCTCTGATCTGGGACTCCCACCCCACTCTGCCTTTGCTGTGTGCTTCCTGAGGGCCACTCTGTAGGGAGGGAGGCATGGGTTTGTCTCAGGCATCTTGGAAGGAGGTGGAGGGGAGGGAAAGGGAGGCTGGAGGGTGGGGTCCTGGGTGCATATGCAGTGAACTGTTGGAATGAATGGGCAAGCGAGTAAGTAACTGAATAGTCTTTAACTTGGACTCCACTTGGCACCTCCTCCTGGAAGCCCAGGTGACCTCTCTCCCCACCTTCCTGCCCTCCCTGCAGCCCACCAAGCCTGGGAAAAGGGAAACTCCCCCAGCACCAGCACAGCACACCAGTTCCTTACACTCCAGCTTCTGGGGGCAGAGGGGGCTTGGTAAAGACATGACTTAGGGGTGGAGGGACTGGGCCTGTCTCTCCCCAGGTGCGGGCTGGTGGCCTTGTGGATGGCAGGCACACTCCTGGCACCACCCAGCGGTGTTCCCCTGGAGAGACTTGTGGAGATAGCCATGGAGAGAGGCTACACGGCCCAGGGAGAGATGTTCTCTGGTGAGTTGGGGGCACGAGGGTCTTAAGCCAGTCCTGCAAGGGGACCCTGTTCCAATCCTCTGGCCCTTCTCCCCCACCCAGTAGAATATTAGGAGGTGGACCCTGAGGCAGGTTGTCTTCATTCCGAGCCCAGCTCTGCCCCCTCCTGCTGGGTGACAATGGACAAGCAGCTTACCCTCTCTGTGCCTCATTTCCTGCATTTATCCAGAGAGGTGGCAGTTGCAGTGCTCATTAGAGGTGCTGATTCCCAGTTATCCCCTGGCTTGCAGCCAGGCACACAGCGATCCTTCTGTCTCTGTCACCCCTGCAGTGGCCGACATGGGCAAGCTGGCCCAGGAGGCACTGGGCTGCCAGGTGGAGCAGCTCCATGGTGGCCTGGGTGGTCCCAACAGAGCCCGCGTCCTGTGGCACCTTGTCTCTGGGCATCCCCTGCTCATCCCGTATCCCAGGGCCCTGAAGGGAGCTGGGTGGGGAGGGAGAAGGGTGGGTCCCAGGGCCACACTGCAGCTTTGGCCTTAACCCCCTACACCAGCTACGATGAGGATTTCAACCATGAGCCGTGTCATAGGAAGGGCCACAAGGCCCACTGGGCAGTGAGCACAGGTGGGTCTCCCCTCCCATACTCCTGTGTGCTCCCCCTGTTTGTCCCCAGCACCCCCCCAGCACCCCACACTCTCAGCCTGACACCGGCATGTCTCCTGTGCTCAGGGCAGGGACCAGGGCTGGCCTGTCCCCGTCCCCACAGGATACTTAGTTAGGGACCTGGCAGGCAGCAGGTGCCTCAGTATCTGCCAATCAGGGTTTCCACAAACGGAAGCTCAGAGCGCAGACTTTAGGATTTGGGCTCCATAGTGGGTCCAGCCACCTCCTGGCTCTGTGACTCTGGGATTTCCTTCCTCCATCTGAAAATCTGGGCGACGGTAGCAAAGCATATAAAGGTCTGAATGGGGCAGGCACACTGCATGTGTCAGTCAGCGTCAGCCTCGATCGGCTTCAACATCCTCATTACCCCACTTACCCCACCGCCTGCATGTTGGGTGGCCTGGGAGGCTGCCCCATGCCCGGGTCCGTGGCCTTGGCTCCTCTGAGCCTTCCTTTACTAGACAGCAGGAAACCACTGGGTGACGATGCCCACTCTATTGAACGCCCCTTCCCCTCCCTGTGCTACTGGCCTGGGACCAGACACCGTAGGTCCAGTCCCAGCCCAGCTGTGTGCCCGCAGCCCCGCCAGCCGCTCAGGGATGCATGGAGGCAGCACCCACACCTTTCATGAAGGGCAGTGGGGGGGAGCTCGATGAGCCCCGGCATGGAGTCAGCCCCCGCCTCACAACTTCCCCTCTCTTCCCAGGGGTCCTGCTGGGTGTGCGGGCTGTGCCGCACCTCGGCTACTCTGAGGACCCCGAGCTGCCAGGTCTATTTCACCCGGTGCCCACCACGCCCCACCAGCCACCAGCCCTGCCAGAAGAAGGCTCCGCAGGAGCCGTCTACCTTCTCTCCAAGCAGGGCAAGAGTTGGCATTACCAGCTGTGGGACTATGACCAGGTCCAGGACAGCAACCTCCAGCTAACAGACTTCTCGCCCTCAAGGGCCGCCGACGGCCGGGCGTACGTGGTACCTGCTGGCGGGGTGCGGGCCGGCCTCTGTGGCCAGGCCCTGCTGCTCAGACCACGGGACTCCAACCCCTAGCCTGCCGCAGCCCTGAGCCGGGCTGACGGGGTCCCGGCTACAGCTTGGCTTTGTCACCAGGAGAAGAGTGCCCCGGTTTCTCCCTTTGCAAGAGCTCACGGATGTGGGCCATGTTCCCCAGGACCTCCAGCCAGAGACCCTCCACGCAGAGGCCCCCTGCCACCCCAGTCTGTCTGGTCCCAGTCCCCTTCTCTCACGCCCACCCTGCAGTATTGGGCTTCTGATGCATGGCTGGGATCCAAGCCAGGAGCCAGTCAAACAAGCTCCCTCTCCAGGAAAGAGACTCACCGGAGCCGGCCTGCAGGTCCTGCCTGTCTGCCCCACCCCGATGTTGCATCCAGACATTTCTCTCTGGTGACCAGCCTCCTCTCTCTGGACACCTGCAGGAGACTTCTCACCGCACTGCTTGCCGCCCCCCTGCGTCTGTTCCCATAGAGCCTAGGATGCCTTGCCTTTCAAAATATAAACCAGGTCTTACCACCTACCTCGGCAGAAGCTTCCAGCCCCTCCTTGTTGCTCACAGGACAGGGATTAAACCCTCCCAGCCCCAGCTCATCTAGCCACACTGGCCTTCCAGGTCCCCAGAGTGTCCTACTCCCCTGCACCCAATCCTCTGCTAAGGATAACTCCTTAATTCTCTATTTCGGCTCATCTTCCTCTTAATTCTCTATTTTGGCTCATCTTCCTTGGGAAGACTCCCTAGCCTCAGGCATGGCTCCTCCCCCACCTTGCCTTCTGGCTTAGAAACACACAGAAAGTGCTAACATGTGCCAACCCCTTTGCCCATTTTAACTCCTCAGATTCTCCATGTAAGGAAGGGACTAGTTCTTCCTCCATTTTACAGGTAGAGAGACTGAGGCCCAGAGAAGTGTGTGAGGTCTGGCCTGAGGTCACGGCTGGCAAGTGGCAGGGCCAGGATGCAAACTGGTAGTTAGTCATTGTACAGATGTGGGTGGAGAAAGAGGTTCTTGATTGAACAAAGACCCGTTGCTCCCACTCTGAAAGGGGAGGAGCAGGTCTGTCTTGGTCCCATGTACTCAGTGCCGGGCAAAGGGTCTTGTTTAGAGATGCTGTCCATTGCGGTGTTTCTCCCCTGAAGAGAGCACCCCCGCCCTCACGCCTCAGACCCCACAGTTGGCACTGTCCGGTGTGCTGTCCTGGGAGGCCCTGAGGGCGCAGCCGGGAGCTGTCCCACTCATGAGTCTGTTCCCCATGTTGTCCAACACAGAGAGAGGTTAGAAGAGCAGCGGCCAGGTGAACTCAGACTGAATGATCCCAAAGGGCCCATGATCCCATGACCCCACCCAGCACCGACAGTGAAACCGGGAGCCTGGAGCCCACACACCCCAGATGCAAAAGAAAAAAATCCACAAAGCTGATTCTGTGTGATTTATTGGGGCGTCGTCCTGGAGGGGAAAGTACACAAAGTGATTTTGCCTCCTGTTCCCCAACACTGCCCCAGCTAATGACTACCTCCCGTATAAATAAGTATAAAGACGGTCAGTAGAAAAGAAGCACATCTCCTCGGGCCCGGAAGACACATTCAAGCTTCAGCTTAGGGAAGAGGGAGGTGCCTGGTTCCCTGCCTCAGAGGCCAGGAAGCCAAAGGTACAGGTGCAGGAGGAGGGGGATGGGATGGGCGTCACATATGCTTGGTGCTGCCAGGGTCAGTGGGGTGGACTCGGTGGCACACTCCAGGCCACAGCCAGTGGCCCGACCTACCCTGCACCCATGGAGGAAGGCAGTTCCTGCTTTTCCATGGCTGAAAGCCCTTCCTGCCACAGGCCAGCTAGGAGCAAGGGAAAAAGGGTACGGGGTGGGAGGAGGAAGTCCCCAGGCTGAGGCCGGTGCCCAAGGAACAAGGTGGTGCTAGTCACAGTGGAAGCCCGGGAAGTGGCTATGGTCTCAGTTTGCAGGGGGTTGGCAGAGTTCTTTCTGGAGCGGGGAGGATCCCCATGGGGCCAGGAGAGGGCAGGACAGGGTGAACTGGGTCCCACCGGACAGCAGAGCGCTCAGACCAGCCCCATGTGGTGTCACACCCTCCCCAAGGTCTGTGGGTACTGGAGTGGCTCCCGGGGACAAGCAGATGGGGCCGGAACTCTCCTAGGCAGACAGGTGGCTCCTGCCTTTATTTGCAGGTGAAGGCTGGTTCTCCAGCGCACCAGCAATGAAACTGACGGCCTCTGGGAGCCAGCCTATAGCCGGGAGGGGGCTGACAAGGAGGCAGTGATTACACTCATTCCTATGGCGACGGGTACCATGTCACGCCTGTGGCCAGTGGCATCTGAACTGTGTTCTGTCAGGGCTCACGGTTCAGTTATGGTCTCCAGCAGCCCCTCAGAAACTTTCTGGGCTGGGCAGAGGACCCAGTCTGGTTCTGATGCACTGTGGGATACAGCCACCTCACACCCCTGCTCCAGTCTTTAAAACCTCCGAATCATGGGAAGGGCCGGGCACTACCTGGTCTCCAAGGCCCTTTAGACCTTCCATCCGGTCTTGTGCGGTTTCCAATGCCACCTCTCCCATCCCCACGGTCAGTGCCCCCATGGCCAATCTTGGGGCACCACCAGCCAGATAGACACCAGCCAATAAATAAACCTGGCAGCGGGCAGGTGGGTCAACCCTGGGCTAGCCCCCGAAGGAGGCAGATCAAGTTGTCCAAACCCCAGAGGTACCCATCCTCGCGGTTGCCCTCAGCCCAGGGCAGTCGGTGGCTGAGCGTCTGGTGGTCAGGCAGGGCCACTGTTTTGCCGAAGTCAATCATCCAGACCCTGGCCAGGCCAGTGTGGTCATGCACGAAGAGGAGGGAGCTGCCCACCACCTGCAGGGAAAGAGGTCGGAGGTTAGAGGGAGGAGCAGGCACCGGCTTCAGGCCCCCTTCCCAAAAGGCAGCTGTGCAGGGTGCTCGACAGCATGAGCTCCTGAGCTGGGCTATCCGGGTTCAGATCCCGGCTCTGCCGCTGACTGGCTAGGTGGCCTTGGGCAGGCGACCTTAACCTCTGCGTGGTTAAAATTAGAAACAACTTCCATTGCCTTCATGGGACTCTAGGTGTGCAAGGCCCTCTCCTTTTCTAGTCGGGTTTCAAACTGCACCGCTCCCAGAGAACCCAGGTGACTGGGCAGGTGCCACCGCCCCACTCTGTTTGGGTGTTGGCACATGGTGGACAGCCCAGTTGTTGCCACATCTCCCAACGGGCCTGGGAAACTGGCAGTCCCAACTTGGGTGTCAATTCTTGTTTTTTAGATGCTGGCAACTCATTTTTTAAAAGTGGGTGAAAACGAACACAAGCACAGAAGAGATGAGGTCCCCGGGCCTCCTCGCTGGGACTTGCACGTAGAGCCCAAGGCAGTGACGAGGACGATGAGGGTGACATTTGATGATAATGAACATGACAGTCATAGCGGGCACACATTGAGAGTGGACTATGGGTCCTGCTTCCATGCTTAATGGGCCATATCCTCACCCCACCCAGGAGGCAGGGGCTCTGTTAGCCCGTCATGCCTGTCCGGAGACAGGTCCCAGGCACCGGAGGCTGAGGAGTGCAGACTGGGGTTCGAACCTGGAGGCCCAACTCCCAGATCAGGGATCTGCTGGAAGTTGGGGATGCCAAGAAAAAGAAGTGAGGGGGACCTGAGCGGGGGTGGTAGAAGAGCTTGGAGAGAGGAGGGAGAGGACACGCAAATGCAGGGAGGTCATAACTTCCCAGACTTCCTGTGACAGCCCAGAGAAATTGTTTCCAAAGAGACCAGGCTGCACAGGAGAGGGAAGGGGGAGAGCCACCAAACGGGAAGGCAGACACCAATAATTAGAAATAATTATGATAATTAAAATTACAAAGGAATTTTAACAGCAAGAAGTTAGGGCACCTGGGTGGCTCGGTCAGTTAAGTGTCTGCCTTGGGCTCAGGTCATGATCCCAGGGTCCTGGGATCAAGTCCCACATTGGGCTCCTTGCTCAGTGGGGAGCCTGTTTCTCTCTCTCTCCCGCTGCCCTTCCCCCCTGCTCATGCTCCCTCTCTCTCAAATTAAACAAAAAACAAAAAACATTGTTTTCCCCCATGTTAGGAGAAAGCTGAGGCCCTAGAAGGTAAATCGCGTGCCCAGAGTCCAACAGCCTTCACTGCAGACCTCCTGGCTCGAGCCCACATTTCAAACTATCCCATCTCCCTGAAATCCCCTCTGTTGCCTGCCCTGAAGAGCAAACCCCAAAACGCGGGGGTTCCTCTTAATAGCTCTGCCCTGTAAGTCTATTAGTGGTTTCTGTTCGGTGCCACCTGGAGGCTGATGCCCCACCCCCACCCCCCACACAGGGCCTTCTGCTCCCAGGGCAGCTGGGGCTCGCACCTCATGGGTCTTGAAGAAGGGGGAGTTCTCCAGAGCCTCTCGGAGCTCTTCCAGGCGAGCCATGTACTTTCTCTGTGTGTGAGAGAGAGTTTCTTGGTTAGTACAGGGACTCTGGGTCCCCTTCCTACTGCCCCAAGGGAGCAGGCAGAACCTGGCCAGGACGGGATCAGGGGAGCCGCGTGGGGGAAACGGAAGGCAGGCAGAGGCTTGGCCACCCCTGGGTGGCACAGAGCGGAGCGTGGCTGGGAGACTACATGAACACCCACAATTCCCAGCAGCTCCTCCAACCGAGGGGTGGAATCGGAGTCCCTTGAATCTGGGCTTGGTCAGAGGACTTGCTCTGGCCGGTAAATCGGGGCAGAAATGATGGCGGCCACTCCGAGCCCTCGAGACATCTTGCATTTTTGCTGGTTCTCTGGGCCACCTGCTTGCACCCTGAGAACGTGCCCAGGCTCGCCTGCTGGAGCGTGAGAGACAAGTGGCCAAGTCATGAGCCGAGATGGTGAGCCCATCACCAGACACATGAGCAGGGCCCTCCTGGTCCAGCCAGCTCTGGCCAAGCCACCAGCCGACTGCAGATGGTAAGCAAGGCAGGCCAGTGTCGGCGAACCTGGGCCTGGAGCAGACCATTGCCTTAGGAGCAATGATGGCAGCGGTGGTCTGCTTGTCTTAAGCTGCCAAATTCGGGGCATGGGTGTCCCGCTCACCAGAATGCCACGGTTCCCCTCCACGAAGTCCTCCAACACCTTTGTCACCTGCTCCATCTCCTGGGTCTTCTTGAAATTGGTGTTGCAGGTCCCATTGGCCTTCTGCAGGGCGAGGGGTGAAGAAGACACAGTGTCGTAACTTTTCCTTCACGGGCTGACACCAAGCAGCCTCAGGCACCTCCCGGGACCACCTGCCTGTCCCCGGGCTCCTGGCCTCTCAGGAGGAGGAGACCGCTCGCCCACCAGGCCAGTTCCACCAAGGCCCACTCCAGAGCAACCAACCAGTCCTTCCCAGTCTAATACTGAACCCCCTGGTTGACCCAGTCTAGCCAAGTGGACTTTGGAGAGGGCTGGGTCTGTCTTTGAACAGTGCCTCTGCTACTTCCAAGCTGGCGGCCTTCAAACAAGCTGCTTCCCCGGCCTCAGCCTCAGTTCCCACATCTGGAAAATGGGGACTGTATTGGTATTTACCACCTAAAGCCAGTATAAGGATTAGAGGAGACTGGATGGGTACGATGCATGGCACAGTGCCTGGCGCACAGTTAAAGAAGCACTCCGTAAATGAGACTAGTATTATTATTTTTTTTTTTTAATGTCTGAGAGGGGCACAGAGAAGCCACCTGAGTCATCCTGCCCCATTGTGCCAGGTGCTGTGTGGGTGCTGAGAACATGAAGGTAACAGGACAGACACATAGTCGGGTGAAGGAGGCAGGTATGGAATAAGATCATCACAAAGGGAAATAAGAATAATGAAGTAAAGAGAGAGCCTTGATCTGGCATGATAGAAATCAAGGTGGGCTTCCTGGAGGAAGTGAAATTTAAAAGACTGGAGGTGGCTCAGTCTGTTGAGTGTCTGCCTTCAGCTGGATCATGATCCCAGAGTCCTAGGATCCAGCCCCATGTTGGGCTCTCTGCTCAGCGGGGAGTCTGCTTCTTCCTTTACCCCTCTCCCTTGCTCATGATCTCTCTCTCTCAAATAAATAAATAAAATCTTTAAAAATAAAAAACAGGGGTGCCCAGATGGCTCAGTCGTTAAGCATCTGCCTTTGGCTCGGGTCATGATCCAGGGTCCTGGGATTGAGCCCCATATCGGGCTTCCTGCTCAGCTGGAAGCCTGCTTCTCCCTCCCCTACTCCTCCTGCTTGTGTTCCCTCTCTCACTGTGTCTCCCTCTGTCAAATAAATAAATAAAAATAAAAAATAGGGGTGCCTGGGTGGCTCAGATGGTTAAGCATCTGCCTTTGGCTCAGGTCATGATCTCTGGGTCCTGGGATCAAGCCCCATACCAGGCTCCCTGCTCAGCAGGGAAATCTGCTTCTCCCTCTCCCTCTGCCCCTCCCCACCATGTGTGTGCGTGCGCTCTCTCTCTCAAATGAATTTTTAAAATTAAATTAAATTAAAAATAAAATGAGACAGAAAAATGACTGGGAGTCAATCAGGGGGACATGGGGTAAGAGCATGTGCAAAGGTCCTGTGGCAGGAAAGAGCGGGACTCTTTAAAGCAAATGAAACTGCTTTAGTGTGGCCTAAAGATAGATGAAGAGGAAGAGATTGGGGAGAGATGAGGCTAAACCCTAGAGCGCCCTCTAGGCCAGGGAACTTCTCTCGAGGAGACTAGGGAGCCATGGAAGGATTTTGAATAGGAGAATGAGCATCAGATGTACAACTCAGAAAGATGGCTCAGGCAAGGCTGTTGGGAAATGGGTACTCTCATGTGTCATTGGTGGGGTGCGAAATGGTCTTACTCCTGTGAAAGGAGTTTGACAATCTCTAGCCAAATTCCCAATGTACCTCATCTTCGACACTGTGCCCCTGTTTCTGGGACTCTCATCTACAGCTTAACCCACCCACTTGCAAAGTGTCTTGTATATAAAGTGATTCACTGAGGTACTGTTTATAATGGCAAAAAGTGGAAACCCAGGTGGCCATCTGTAGGGGCCTGTATCTCATCCAGAGAGACCTATTACACAGCTGAGAAAGACAGGAAGGGATAAAGGAAAAGAAAGGAAGGCAGGCAGGCAGACTTTCCATGGAATGATATGGAAAATTCTCCAGGGCTACGCTACCTTTTGTGTAAGAGGGGGAGAAGGAAAATTCAGGATATGCAATTGCATTTGTTTGTATTTGCAGGAAGAAACAGAAGAAACCAGAAGGTGGTTCTCCAGGAGCAGGCAGGGGCGGAGGGGCAGAATGGGAAGGAGAGCAGCAGGGTCAGGAAAGAGACGCCCCCCCCATACCCTTTTATATAATTTAGATTTTTAAACTGTGTGAATCCGTCTTCAAACAATTAGGTTTAATTTACAAAAAAGGGAGAGGAAGAATGAAAGCGAGAAAGCAAAAAGGACAATCTTTCCCCATACAGGGGAGTAAGGATCCTTTCAGTGGCCATGTTAGATGCAGATCAGAGGGGGTGAGACAAGGATGCAGGAGCCCAGGTAGCCTAGGGCAGGAGAGACCAGGGAGGTGGGTGGTAGGGTTGTGGGGGAAGACCAGGGAGGCTGGGCAGGGAGAGACCAGGGAGGCTAGTAGGGGAGAGACCAGGGAGGCTGGGGTTGGGGGAGACCAGGGAAGCTGGTGGGGGAGACCAGGGAGGCTGGTGGTGGGGTTGGGGGGTAGACCAGAGAGGCTGGAGGTCGAGGGAGAGAACAGGGAGGCTGGGGTGAGGAGAGACCAGGGAGACTAGGGACACTAGGCGGGAAAGATGGGCGGACTAGGGCAGGGCCATAGGGAGGGGAGCAGAGGGAATCAGGAGCTGCTCAGGGAAACAGGTAAACAAAACTTGGACACTGATAGGGGTGAGAGAAAAGCAGGACCTCCCTGAGCCCCTGTCTACTCATCTTCCACAGTCTCCCACTCTTTCTCCACATCCTGCTTCTCCCCAGCTTTCCCTGACACCCATGTTCCCCATGAGGCCCTGTCTCTGATCCAGCGCTCAGGCCTCTGGTGACAGGCAAGCAGCTCCTGGCCCTCACCTTGATGCCCTCAATCCGGAAGCCCAGAGTGGAGGTCGAGCTCACGGTCTCCCTCCACTGCATGTAGCGGGGCTTGGTGACAGCACCCTGGGCATGTTCCTCAGGGGTGGGGGCCCTGGGGTCCACAGCCACCATCTTCTCATACATGTCCTTCCGAGGCCGGGGCCTTTCTCGGGCCTTCACTAGCTCCTCCTCCAGGTAGGTCCTGGGACACAGAGGACGTGACAAAGAAAACTATGAGGAACAAAGACACAGGACATACTCTCTGATATCAAGACAAGTAATAAACCCACAGCATGGCACAAGAATAGACAACTGGATCGATGGACAGAAACAGAGTCTAAAAACAGATGCACACGTGTATATTCACCTGAACTACAACGAAGAAGGCCCAGCAATTCAGTGGGGAAAAGGAAGTCTTCTCAATAAATGATGCTGGGTCAACAGTTTCGCGATATTGACATGGCGGGGATTTCAATCCCTACCTCACACCATGTATAAAGATTAATACTAGATGGATCACAAAGCTAGATGTGAAAGTTCAAACAATAAAGCTTGTAGGAGAAAACACAGGAGATCACACAATCTTGGAGTAGGCAGATTTCTTAAACACAAAGCTCCTAATCACAATGAAAAATGGCAAACTGGCCTGGATTAAAAGTGCTTCTGTTTATCTAAAGATACAATTAAGAGAGGGAAGTGGGGGACGTCTGAGTCATTCAGTTGGTTGGGCATCCCCCAGCCCTTCACCTCGGCCCCACACCTGCCCCTCAACCTACCTGCTGCCCATCTTGCAGTCCATGATGGAGGGGCCCTCAAAATCCGCCAGGAGATCTTCCATCTGGTTGAAGGCCTGGCCATCCCGCTGCACCACGCCATAGTAGGTGGGCACAAAAGGCCGCAGGGGGTCACTCATCAGCTGCTCCAGGCTGCGCTGCTCACACTGACAGAAACGCTTGAGGATCCGACCGTCCTCTCCTGCCTGGAAGTTCCCTAGGAGCAGCACAGTGGACAAGAAGCTGGATCAGCCCGAGGATCTCCTCATCTCCCGGATGCATTGGATCGTGGCTTCCCTCCTCCTGCCTGACCCTTCTGAAGGGCTTTCTCTTCCTCCCCGTAACTGTCACAGTCTTGGCCTTGATGTAGCAAGGGCAGGACCTGCTGCTCCTTGTTCGGAGTCCTGTTCATAGCACGTTGTGTCCTCTCTTGCTTTGTCATTTTACATGGGGAGCTCGTGATCGGCTGTGGGAATTTTTGTGCGATCCGAGTGGAGGGCATGATGCTCCAGAGCAGATCTGCATTTGCTTTGGGATGCCTGGGTGGCTCAGGCGGTTGAGCATCTGCCTTCAGCTTGGGTCATGATCTCAGGGTCCTGGGATCAAGCCCTGTATCAGGATCCTTGCTCTGCGAGAAGCCTGCTTCTCCCTCTCCTCCCTGCTCCTGTGCTCTCTCACTATCTCTCTCTATCTCCAATAAATTAAAAAATCTTAAAAAAAATTTTGGGGCACCTGGGTGGCTCAGTGGGTTAAGCCTCTGCCTTCGGCTCAGGTCATGATCTCAGGGTCCTCGGATCGAGTCCCGCATCGGGAATCTCTGCTCATCGGGGAGCCTGCTTCCTCCTCTCTCTCTCTCTGCCTGCCTCTCTGCCTACTTGTGATTTCTCTGTGTGTCAAATAAATAAAAACCTTCAAAAAATTTTTAAAAATTTGCATTTGCTTCTGCCTGGAGTTCCACAGTGCTAACACCTGGGGCCAATTTAACTGCAGGGACGCCTGGGCGGCTCAGCTGGTTAAGCATCTGTCTTCAGCTCTGGTCATGATCTCAGGGTCCTGAGATCAAGTCCCTCATCGGGGTCCTTGCTCAGCGGGGAGCCTTCTTCTCCCTCCGCCTGCCGCTCCCCTTGCTTGTGCTCTCTCTCTCTCTCTGACAAATAAATAAATAAAACCTAGAAAAAAAAAAAAGTCTTCAAAAAGTTAAATGACAAATCTGGCATTTCCTGGCCCCTGCAGATTGTGTACACATTAGAACTATGAATTCTTACTGAGGCAAAGTGTATTTTCAGACTATGTTCTCCAAAGATGGCTGCAACAATAGCTCCTGGCCCACAGGTTCTTCTAGAATTTCACCACTCCCCATCAAGAAGTGGAATCTAATTCTTCTTCTCCTCTTGAACCTGGGTGGGATGATGACGGAAGCAACCCTGGGACTTCAGAGTCTAGGTCACAAGAGGAGAAGTGATTTCCACTCTGTGGGCAGAGACGCTTGCCTCTGCCGTCCTAAGCAGCTGGGGAAGAAAGTAGACTAGTCCGAGGCTACCATACTATGAGGAAGCCCAAGCAGCGACACAGAGAAGCTACATGGAGACAGTCTCAGCTGAGAGCTAGCTGACAATCGATCACAAGGCACAGGCATGAATGCATCTCAAAAGTTTCAGCCTTGGAGGCCTGGGTGGCTCGGTCATGAAGTGTCTGCCCTCAGCTCAGGTCATGATCCCAGGGTCCTGGGATCGAGCCCCACATCGGGCTCCCTGCTCAGCAGGAATCCTGCTTCTCCCTCTCCCACTCCCCCTGGTTGTGTTCCCTCTCTCACTAAGTCTCTCCCTGTCAAATAAATAAATAATATCTTTAAAATAAAGTTTCCACCCTGCTGTGTTTGAAAGAGTTGTCCTAGCTGGGTTCCCAGATACCATGATGCAGCAACAGGCCATCCCTGCCATGGTCCGTCTGGACTCCTGACCCCAAACCTGGGAGTGCAATAAAATGGTCCTTTGATTCCATTAAGTCTTCTTTTAAGCACTCACTTCTGAGGTTTTTTGTTTTTTTTTTTTTTTTTGTATTTTAACTCAGCCAGAGTAATGAGAATGCAGAGAGATGGCGGTCCTGTGGCTGGGGGAGCCAACCTTTTCAATGATAGATCTGGCAACGAACCAGGTAGGTAAGTCCCCTTCTTGTCTCCCTTTGCTGGTGGACCCACCCCATTTGTCTAGTTCTCACCACTATTGTTTTTTTGTAAATAAAGTTTTATTGGAACACAGACACGCTCACGTGTTTATGCATTATCTGTAGCTGTGTTCATGCTGGGTAACAACAGTACTGAGTTGTTGTGACTGAGCCTATTTGGCCCACAGAACCTAACACATTTATTATCTTGCTCTTTTCAGAAACTGCTCTGTGCTGGGCATTGGGCTACTATCAGAGACATCATGCCAGGACCTGGGGAAAACCATCAGACCTGCTGTCTACATAGGGCCTACTCTATCTGGCCATGAGGAGAGAACAAGGAAGGATTATTTCCATTTATAAGGGCCCACGTCTCAATCTCCATAGACATTTTGGTTTATCATTTTCTTAAATATCTGACTTTATTTTTATTTTACGCAGGCTCCATGCCTAATGTGGGGCTTGAACTTACAACCCTGAGATTCAGAGTTGCATGCTCTACCGACTGAGCCAACCAGGTGGCCCGTGCATATACATTTTGATCTTAACCCTTTTGTTAAGCCGGCAAGGGAGGTATGGTGATCTCCATATCACAGGTGAGAAAACCAAGGCCTAGTAAGAGAACGTAACTGGCCCAGGGTCTCCCATATATAAAGCTTTGAGCCCAGGACCATTCTTCTCCCAGGGTTAGGATTTGCTCCCCATCCCCCCCGGCACTGAGACAACAGGGAACAGCCTACAGTCCTGATGTACGGATGGCCCGACCCAGGCCTAAGCATGTCCCATACCAGCCTCGTGATGGGGAAACTGTCCTCAAGCCCACATGACAGATGGGGCAAGCTGAGCTATGGAGAATGGCTCTGGAGCTTTCTTCCCCCAGCCCAGGCTTCTCTGCCCCCTGCCAGCGACCACACCCCTGCTCTCACCAGCGTGTCCCGACAGCTGGACCCACGGGTAGTGTTTTCGGAAGGAGACCATGAAGGGCGAGTATTTCAGAACTGTCTTCAGCTTCTTCCACGGTTTGTTCTGTGTGAGGCAGAGCAGGGTAGGGTTAGTGTCAAGGGCAGGGAGGGAAAGGGATAGGGTGCTGCACTGAGGGGAACCAGCTGGACTTTCCAGGGCCAGGGGGCTTCCTGGGATCGCTGCTCCCAAGCTCACAGGGCTGAGCAACACCCACCACTTCAGCCACCTCGAGGTCCCCCAAAGACCTCAGCAAAGGTGGGGAAGAGTCTGTCCATTTTCTTCTGTCCTCAAAGAGTAGAAATAGGCCAGATCTTGCTACAGTAACAAGCAGCCCCCCAAGTCTTCCCCTCCACAGACACACACCAAACACTTGGAAACCTCCCTTCTGTCCCAAAACCAAGTCAGACCTTCTGGAGAAGATGACAGAAGCAGGAGTTGGTGAGTGGAGGCAGAACTGCAGAGAAAAGACAGAAACAGAAGCAGGTGACAAGGTAATGACAGAGCCAGAGAGACAGGCACAGGACCCGGAGACTGGGACAGTCATGAGCACAGCTCACCAAATGGCTCCTGCCTTTCCCTGTTCCAGGGACATCCCTGCCATCCTGACCTTGGGTTTCTGACTTGCTTTGGCCAATGAAATGTGAGCAGAAGCGTGGAAGCCAGTACATGAGTTTCCGTGTCCTTTGCCCTGCTGTACAATGGGGTGGGGAGTGTGGAAAAAGAAACAGAAGCTTCCTCAGTCCTGGCCTTGAGTGAAGACAGCATGGAGCAGAGCTCCCTCACCCACCAGTGGCTCACAGTCCCTGTGCAGTGTGAACAAAAATAATCCCGTGTTGTTCCAGGTCACTAAGTTTGGGGGCTGTTTGTTACTACAGCAAACCCTGACCTAGCCTGACTAAGAGAGAGACAGGGCTGCCAAAAGACAAAGAAAGAAAATACAGAAAGATAGAAAGGGAGACATGGATACAAAGCAATGACCGGAAAGAAAGAGATAAGCAGAAGCAAAGAAAGAGAGAACAAGCAACATAAAACCAGTAAAGCGAACTGAAAACAAAGATTTATTTGTATCGGGTTGACTCAGCCAAGAGGTTCTTGGGACTGGGTCAGTGTCTGGTTCACAAGCATGAGCACGCGTGCACAGACACAAGAACACACTCTTTGCTCCAAGCACATGGCAGGCCCTAAGGCAAATGTTAGGACAAGGGGTCCTTTCCAGAGAAGGAAGCTGTGTGGCCCATCCCCCCACTACCCTGGGGTTAAAGCCATGTTCTCTCCCACCCGCTCAGAGCTCCGCCACCTGGCAGACATCTAACTGATGGTGGGAAGGTCACGCAGAGGCAGGGCACTGGGACTGCAAGATTCAGGAATGGCTGTTCCTTCCACCCTCCAGCTGCCAGCCGTGGAGAGGAGGTGATTAATAAAGGTTCCTGTTTACTAAGCACCTGGAACATTCCAGGCACAATGACAAAGACTCAGTGAGCCATAACCTACTTAATCCTAAAAACACAACTCCAGGAGGATTGTTGTCTCTGTTACAGAGGAAACAGAGGCCCAGAGAGATGAAATCAGTTGCCTCAGTCACACAGCACAGTGCTGGGGTTCTGACTTGGAACCCACCGCCCTGGGCTGACAAGCTAGACCCCTGCTGGACTACGAACTCTGAAGGCAGGGATTGGGGTTCTCATAGTTATACCTATGTCCCCAGCCACAGTCTAGCACAAACAGCCGCTCCAAAAACATCACTTGGACTAAAGAACATTAGTTGTATTAGTTGTTACGATCTTTTTTTTCCCTTCTTTTTTTTTTTTTTTATCATAAGCAGATTCAGTATCTTTTCTCTTTCTTAGACCTGATGGTTAATCCAGGTTTTCTCAGATGGTTTCACGATGGTCTCCTCTTCCACGCCCCCTCTTCCGGGAAGCCCTCTCTGATACCCCAGGTGCGGCCAGTCACACACGCCCCCACCCCGACCACGGTCTTCCACAACACTCGGCTTCCCCTATCCCAGCCCTGACCACTCCGTAGGGTGGTAGGTCTGTCTGGGATTTCAAAATAAACAAGAAGGAAGCCAGGGTTTGTTTTTTGGGCAGTGGGAGCAACGAGGGGGGGCAGGATGGTGTGCCCTTGGGCATCACGGCAGTGGAGGGGGTCAGGAGGGAAGCAAGGAAGCTGAACGTGGGAAGCAGCCTGGAGACAGGAAGCTCTGAACAGAGGACTGAATTTCTGATCACTATCTGGAAGGCCCTGGGGATCCATGGAAGGCACGGAAAGCAGGGAAGTTTCAAAAGTTGACCAAAAGTGGGTCTTGGAGGCAGATTCTGGAAGGATGAAGAAAAAACTGGACACAGGGAGGTCTGGGAGGAAAGCAAGTGAGGGACAGATCGACCCATACGTCCCAGAGGCTGAAGTAACTGGGTTTTAAACTCAGCCAGAACTGAATTAGAATCCTGGCTCCAACCTGGCTTGACCGACCCTAAGCAAGTGGCTGACTTCTTGAAACCAGTGTTCTCATCCATAAAGTGGACATGATAATAATCCCAATCTCAGAGCGCTGTTCTGAGGACCTGGGGTTAACACGTACACGACACACTTTTCTAAGTGCCTGGTATTCCAAGGGTTTGAATCCCAGCTCTGTGTCTTCCAAACTGTGTGACCTTGGACAAGTGTCATGACCGGTCTGGGCCTCAGTTTCCTCATCTATAAAATGGGATTAATAATAGTCTCTACCTCATAGAGCTGCCATGAGGATTCAATGAGTTAATATGAGCAACAAGCTTAGTCCAGAGCTGCACATAAATGAGTGCTAGCTGCTATTATTTTTTTTTCCATTGTCTTCCAGATCAGCTGTCCTGAGATACCAAGAATGTGAGAGAGTAGGTGGAGGGAACAGCGAAGGCATAAAGATCATAGAGTCAGCTCCTTTGCTCTGGGTGCAGGCAGGTCGAGGCAGGTCTGTCTCTACCTGTGGCCACATGTGTGAGCACGTTCCTAAGGAGGGCCTGGGGGGAGAGGGGGCCTCAGGGCAGACTCCAGCCAGAGGCCCCAGGAGAGTGGGAAGACCCAGCAGACCAACCCACTTAAGGCTCTCACACCTGCCTTGGTGCTGACCCTCCCTGAACCTTCCCTGCCCAGCCCTCCTGATTCACCGGGGAAGAACCACACCCAAGCTGAGGATGTAAACAAGAGTCTGCAGGGCCCCCCATGGGGAGCTGGGGGGCAACCGGGAGACCAGAAGCTCCCAGGCTAAGCTGGGCATCCTTAGCATTTGGGGCTCACACAACCCTTCGAGAATCTGATAAAAGCTGGGGGGCTCACTTTTTTATCACTCCCTACAAAAATGTATGGCTAAAGGGTGATGAAGGTTTGGGACCCCTTAAGACAGTCACAGGCCCTAGACTAAAAAATCAGAGGGGGGGAAAAGTGCACCTTTTCTGTCCTTCTATACTAGAGCACTCCAGATTTTGAGGTTACATACTTTCTAGAAAATCCGAAGAAGTCATACACGCTCGATGCAGAAATATGTGTGTACACACACAGACTCGCACGATCACACAATTTCGGGAATTCCTGGGCACCGCTAAGTCAACCAGCAGCTGTCCACTTTAGACACCAGTACCAGAGGCAGTGGGGGGAAGAGAAAGGAAAGGATGAGGAGTGTGCTGGGAGTGGGTTGGTAACCCCAATGGTAGAGGGAGGAGGCTGACAGATGGAAGAGGCAGGTACCTTGAGATGAAATTGTTCGTGGGTACTAGAAAACTTCTCAAAGCAAAGGCAAGGCGATGGGATAAGGGGTCTGGAGAGGTGTGGCTCAAGGGCAGGATGGTTCCCACTCACCCCAGAGCTGTCCTCGGGGTCGCTGGGACCTCCGCCCCCGGCCACCACATCATCCTCAGACTCGTCGAAAGAGGAGGCAGAGGAGAAGCCGCCACTGCCCCCCTCAGCCTGGGAGGGGGGTCCCACTGGCTGAGCCTCAGGCTCAGGTGTTTCAGGAGTGATGATGAGGCGGGGCACAGGGGTCAGGGAGCTACACTCCAGGTGAGAGTATAGGTGAGTCCCCAACTCCCCAGGTTCTGGTTCCTCTAATGGGCCATCCTGCTTGGACTCCCCCAAAAAACAGTCTGTCCCAGGTTCTGTCTGGGGTCCATGAATATCTTGTGTCTGAGCACCATCAGTGCCAGACCGTGTCCAGGAGCCAACAGTATCTTGCTGTGTTGGGAAATCTTCAGTGTCAACCTGCTTCCAGGCTGTTTTAGTATCCTGTTGTATCTGGGAGCCATCAGTGTACACTTCTTTCCAGGAGGCATCAGCACTGGATTCTGTTGAGGGACGGCCCCCTTCTGGTTGAGTCGGGAGGCTGGACCTGTTCTTGTGGGTCTGGACGTTATCAGCCCAGGTCTTGGCCCTCTCTGGTTGCGTCTGTGTCCCATGTATCTCTATCTCTGTCCAGGGCCCATCGACTCTGGGATGCATCCAGAGGCTGGCCCTCTCTGGTTGAGACTGGAGGCCAGACCTGTGTGGACCAGTCCAAAAGCCATCTGTCCCAGTTTCCGTCCAGGGACCGGCTGTCTCCAGCTCTGACCAGTGGCTGCTCCTTTCGGGACACGTCCGGAGGCTGGATACGTCTGGCTCCGTCTTTTGGCCCGGCAGCTCTGTCTCCACTCCCAGGCTAGCTGCTTCGGGCTCAACCTGTCCGTCTGTCCCCGGCTCAGGCCCGAGGCCGACCCTCTCGGGCTCGGTGTGGAGGCTGGGCCCCTCGATCCGGACCCGGGGCCCGCCCCCGTCGGGCCGCCCCGCCGGGCCCCCAGCGCCGGGCCCAGGTCGCTGCTGTCCCGGCTGCCGCCGCCGCCCCCCTCGAGGCGCCTCCAGCCCCATGCGGGCCGCTCCTGGCAGGGCCCCGGCCTCTGCCTCACTCAGGCTCCCCCGGCACGGGCAGCGCCTCATGCCCGCTCCCTAGATTCGGGCTTCGACCCGGCCCGGCCCCTCCTGCCCCTTTAAATCCCGCGAGGGGTGTGGCTGGGGAGCCCCGACTCGCGGGTTCCGGCCCGCGAAGTCCTGCCCGTCCGGCAGCGCAGGGGTTAACCGATACTCTGCCACCCCCCCCCAACCGGGAAAGCCCCGAGGCCCCGCCCCGGACGTGACGCCAGGGGGACGGGCCTTGCCTGGTGCCAAGAGGTTGGAGAGGTTGGTCCTGTTGGAGAGGTTCCTGTCCAAGAGCTCGAAACTGGTCGAGGTTGGGTGTGAGCCCCTGGTGTCCTGGCTGCGGGGCGGTGGGAACCCCTTCCTCGACCCCTGCAACTAATCCGACCTTCCTACACCCTCGAGTGACCAGTTTAGCCTTCCTATAATCCTCGATGACGAGTCCAGCAGCTCTCCCATTCTTCCGATGGGGCAAGGACTGACTTTCCAAAGACTTGGAAATCCTTTGGACCTGGCTTCAAGACCCGCCTCCACCACTGACTAGCCGTGTTACCTGCAGTGTGTGACTTACTTTCCCTCCCTCCTGCCCCAGCCCCAGGCTCAATTTTCTCACCTGTAAAATGAGGATACATAATATTATTTTAGAAAACGTGTGTTCGATGCCACAAGAGGCAGGCATTTTTACCACCAGGGGTATTGAGTTCCAGAGCCATGAAAGAATTTGTCTAAAGGTGAGGTTAGATGAGGGGCAAGCCAGGACCTTAACTCCGAAGCTAGGATGCCTGGCTTCAAATCTCAGCTTTAGCAGTCACTTCTGGGGTGCTCTTTCCTTGCAGACTTGTCTCCTCTGAGCCTGTTTTCTCATCTGTGAAAAAGGGATAGTGGGGGATAATTTCCTCACAGGAGAGTTATGGGAGTTCTATTAATTTACAACATTTACATTTGTTTACTTGCTTTGTGCCAGCTGCTGTACTTAACAGTTTATGCCCCAACTCTTGTGGGGTAGGGATCATCGTCATTCTTTGCACAAACAGGAAAACAAGGCACAGAAAGACAAAGCAGTGAGTCCAAGGTCATAAATCTAAGTTGTGTAGACTTGAACTCAGGCCCATGGTCCCTACAGGGCGATAGAACTTGCTTTTGAGGCTGGGGGTGTGAGAGAAAAAGCCGGAAGTTCAGAGTATTTTCTCTAAATGGGATCATGTCCTCCTCTACTCAGAGCCCTCCATGGTTCCCAATCCACAGAGTAAAAGCCATAGTCTCTCCTGTGACTCACTAACCCGTAAGCGATCTGCCTCTAGTTACATCCCAGACCTCCTCTCTTCTTTCCCCTTCACTAGCTATGCCTATTGGCCTCTTTGCTATTTCTCTGAGATATTTTCCACCACAGGGCCTTTGCACTGGTTGTTCTCTCTGCCTGGAATGTTTTTCCCTCTGATATTCCAATAGCTCCCTCCCTGTCTCTTTCGGGTCTCTGTTCAAATGTTACCTCCTCAGTTATCTCCTCAGTGAGGTCTTCCCTGACCATTCAAAAATCTGTTTAGGGTGCCTGGGTGGCTCAGTGGGTTAGGCCGCTGCCTTCAGCTCAGGTCATGGTCTCAGGGTCCTGGGATCGAGTCCCGCATCGGGCTCTCTGCTCAGCAGGGAGCCTGCTTCCCTCTCTCTCTCTGCCTGCCTTTCTGCCTCCTTGTGATCTCTGTCTGGCAAATAAATAAATAAATAAATCTTAAAAAAAAAAAATCTGTTTAAACTCAGGTTAAAGCCTCTGCCTTCGGCTCAGGTCATGGTCCCCGCGTCCTGGGATCAAGCCCCGCATCGCATCGCATCGGGCTCTCTGCTCAGTGGGGAGCCTGCTTCCTCCTCTCTCTCTCTGCCTGCTTCTCTACCTACTTGTGATCTCTGTCTGTCAAATAAATAAATAAAATCTAAAAAAAAAAAAAGCTCAAAATCTCTCTACTCCTTTCCCCCCTTTCCTGATTTATTTTTCTCTTTAACACATGTCACCTTATTAAATATAGTTATTATTATTATTATTTTTAATTTTGGCCCTCATCAGAATCCAGCACCAAGAGAGCAAATATTTTTGCCTGGATTTTCCTTGCTGTGTCCATTAGAAAAGTACATGCTAAATGCTTACTAGGAAATTTGGAAAGAATGACCTTTCCAAAAGAAATTTCTCTCATGTATATAGCTCTTGTTCTGTACCAGGTCCTGTGAGAAGCTCGTTACAGACACTATTTCACTGCACTTCTAACACTGAGCAAGACGACACAGCCCCATTTTACAGACGGAACACTGAGGCTCAGAAATCTACCAGCCTCTAACCTTTGCTTGTAGCCTTTGATATGACCTCATAAAGGGGAAGCCTTGGCACCAGCCACAGTTCTATAGGGTTAATTATTGACATAGGTGCTTTTTATATATTTTTGCCCCCAAGGGTTTGCTGTCACCCGGCTCCTGAGTCAGACCCTTATGTGTAGAGGGTGACAGGGGGTGTTTTGTCCTGAAATTGAGTCATGGGGGGGGGGGCATTGGGCACAGGCCCAAGGCTCTAAAGTGAGTCATCTCTTCACAGACCAGTGAGGAATCATACAGGAGCCCTCTAACAAGTCACACAGGCTGGGAAGAAGTCCAGAAAGAGTTGGGGATCTTCTCAGGTCACAACACAGAGAGACAGGGAGGTCTGACTTCCAACCAAAAGGGTTAGACAGTTGGGGGTGGGGAAGGTTCTGTGAGGAAAGTGTCCCATCCCTCCTGTCACATCCTTCCTTCTCCCAGAGGTGGGAGAGATGCCCCAGCAAGCTGCTTCTGTTCCAGACTGTGAGGAGGGGTGAGTCAGCCTATTGTTGGGGGAGCAGGCTTTAGGCCCGTCTGCCCTACCCCCGCCCCCCAAACAGACACCCAGATGGGCTGGGAGCTGGTTTTCTGGGATGCCAGGGCTCCTGACTCAGCACTGGGAATCTTGGCTGAGTGTGTTCTGGGAAATGTCAGGCCTACAGGAAACAGAGGGCTCCCACTCACACCATCCCGCAGGTGGGCGGGGAGCGGAGAGAGAGCAGAGTGTATGAGAGAAAGGGGGCCCAGTGTGCAAAGGGCTGAGTGTGAGGAGGTGTATGAGAGGGGGGCAGTTGGCAAGCAAGGCATGGGGGTTTATATGCGCGAGGGAAGAAGATGGGTGCCAGCATGTGGGTGTTTGAAGCAGAGGATTGATGTGCAAAGTGGAGGGGCTCCCGGAGCAAGGGATATGTTTGCTGGGAAGATGTGTGTTCAAAGGAAAGACGTCCAGTCTGTTGGGGATAAAAATAAGAAAGTAGGTTGGCAAGATGTTCGCGCAGAGAAGAGATGCGGAGTTCGTAAGGGATGTTTGCAAAAACGACGCTGTGGGGGGTAAAGAAAGGTCTGCCACGCACAAGGCACTCTGAAATGCGGAGAAAGGCAGAAAACTGCACGCACGTGCGCGGCTCACGGGTTGCCCCAACAATCCCAGCAAGCCCCAACGCCCACCTTCAGGCCACGCCCCTAGTCCCGCCCCTGACGCACAGCGGGGCAAGCTACGCGCCAGTCAGTGAGGTGCTACTCCGCCATTGGCTAGCTCACCGGAGGGGGCGGGTGTGCAGAGACTCCCGGAAGCGCGAGAGGCTCTCGCTTGTAGCGGACCCGGATCCTGGGAACAGTGGGTGCTTAGCAACGGGGGGAGGTGCCCAGTAATGGGCGGCTGGGGTGTGGGGGGTAGGAATTGTGGGTGCCTAGCAACAAAAGGGAAGGCAGTGCCTAGCAACGAGGGGGGCTCAGAGGAGTGGAGAGCTAGCCCTGGAGAATCTGTGGGTGTCTAGCAACGGGGGAGGACCCTAGCAACGGCGGGGAGTGGGACAGGGCGAAAGTGGGTTTTGGGAGGTGCGCAGAAAGAGCTATGGATTCCTAGTAACCAGAGAGGGAACCAGAAGAAACTGGGGGAACTATTAAACGGGAAAGGAAGTCTTTAGTGGCTGGGAATCTTAGGGTGGACACAGAGGAATGTGAGGGCTTAGCAAAGACGAGGGCAAAGCGGAGAAGTCAGTGCCAACCCCTACCCGAGTAATCCCCTTCTCCCCCAGGCGATGTGGCTGGAGGTGGGGGGCTTACTGCGGGGGACCTGTGGACAGCTGGGACGGACTGTCGGTTTGCCTTGTGGGGCCTTGGGGCCTGGGCCCCACTGGTGGGTAAGAGCCTGGAGAGGTGTCTCCAAGGGGGAGAATCTGGGGGAGGTTTTAGGGTGTAAAATGACAGGGAGGGCTCCAAAAGGGCCACGCAGATCCCATGTCCTCCACTCCTTACCAATATCCACTTTTCTTGCAGGGGCCATGTGGGGGTTCTCGGCCCCAAATGTTTCATAAGGATGGGCCTGGCAGAGGCCTGGGTGAGGAGGACATTCGCAGGATACGGGAGGCCCGGATCAGGAAGACACCCCGGCCCCAGGTATCATTGTCTCCCACCCATTCAGCAGCACCCCCTGAAGGCAGCTGGCCTCCCAAGCTTGGGGAAGGGCATGGTGGCAGGTTGGTTGGACTCCCGGGGTGCTATGCTCACCTTCCAACCCTCAGACCTTCTCCCCATTTCCCAGCTGAGCGACCGCTCTCGAGAACGCAAGGTGCCTGCTTCCCGCATCAGCCGCTTGGCCAACTTTGGGGGTAGGTGTGACTGTGGGAGATTGTAACCTAGATCAGAGGAGGCCACGTTTACAGAACGAAGCAAGGGGGAGAGGGTGAATCAGAGACAGGGAGAGGAGTGAGAGACAGAAAGAGAAGGAAGGCAAAGGCTTGCAAAGCCAAGAGAAAGAGAGAGGAAGGTAACATTTATTCGGCACATGGAATGTGCAAGGCCTCATGTACACTCTATCTGTCTGTCCTGAATTTGATGCGTGTTAATTTCCACCATATAGATGAGGAAACGGAGGCAAAGGGAAGTGAAGTGACTTGACCCCAGGTTATGCAGCAGGAGTTTTCAAACGTGAGGTCACAGTCTGCATGAAATAATTCAGGGGGTTGCAGCCAGCATTAAAAAAGAATAGAATGGGGCATCTGGGTGGCTCAGGGGGTTAAGCATCTGACTTTGGCTCAGGTGATGATCCCAGGGTCCTCGGATGGAGCCCCAGGCTCGGCTGGGAGTCACCTTCTCTGTCTTCCTCTACCCCT